TGTACAGGGAATGATAGATTTACATGTTATGTACATGGATGATATCTAACTACATGGGATCACTATAAATTATTATTATACAAGATTTATATATTATTATTATACAGAATTTATATATTATTATTATACAGGATTTATATATTATTATTATTATACAGGATTTATATATTATTATTATACAGTATTTATATATTATTATTATACAGAATTTATATATTATTATTATACAGGATTTATATATTATTATTATACAGAATTTATATATTATTATTATACAGGATTTATATATTATTATTATTATACAGTATTTATATATTATTATTATACAGAATTTATATATTATTATTATACAGAATTTATATATTATTATTATACAGATTTATATATTATTATTATTATTATACAGGATTTATATATTATTATTATACAGGATTTATATATTATTATTATACAGAATTTATATATTATTATTATACAGGATTTATATATTATTATTATACAGGATTTATATATTATTATTATATACAGAATTTATATATTATTTATTATTATACAGGATTTATATATTATTATTATACAGTATTTATATATTATTATTATACAGTATTTATATAGCGCCAACAGCTTGCTCATCGCTTTACATTATAAATGGCAGAGCTTGTAGATTCCACAGGGAATGATAGATTTACATGTTATGTACATGGATGATATCTAACTACATGGGATAGCTATAAATGGCAGAGCTTGCAGATTCCACAGGGAATTACTTATTTATTTCAGGTACTTATATATCGCCGTCAATTTACACAGCACTTTACATATATATTGTACATTCACATCAGTCCCTAACCCTCAAGGGGTGTACAATCTAAGGTCCCTAACTCACATTCATACATACACATACTAGGGCCAATTTAGACAGGATCCAATTAACCTACCAGCATATCTTTGGAGTGTGGGAGGAAACCGGAGTACCCAGAGGAAACCCACACAGGCACAGGGAGAACATGCAAACTCCAGGCAGGAGGTGCTGTGGTTGGGATTCAAACCACCAACTCTAGTAGTGCCAGGCGGAAGTGCTAACCATTTAGCCACTGGACTGCCACGAATCATAGAATTTACATGTTATGTACATGGATGATATCTAACTACATGGGATCGCTATAAATGGCAGAGCTTGCAGATTCCACAGGGAATGATAGATTTACATGTTATGTACATGGATGATATCTAACTACATGGGATCTCTATATACAACAGAGCTTTTGCATTTCCCAGGGAATTCTAGATTTGTACAATATAGACATGGGTGATCTTTATCTGCACAGGATCACAATGAGATTGTAACTTGTACAAGGAAATCATAGACTTGCATGTTATGTACCTAAGAGATCTTTCTCTACATGGGATTACTGAATACAACCGAGTCTGTGCATTACACAGGACCTGGAATGATAGTGTCAGGGATGCGGGTGTGACCAGAAGTGTGTGGACTGACACAGGGAAATGCAGGCTTCAGATATAGTAAATAATATAATTTATTGAGACTAACAATACAAACATAAACGCATTGCACCAAACTCCAAGCTAACACAAATACATACAACAAGGTGAAACAAACCCAAACCTAAACTGATACAGATACACAGGTACATACACATATATAGCACAACGTAGTCAGGCAGGCCGGGTCGATAACTATCGGGCAGGTAGGTACAGGAGGAGCAGGCAGAGAGAATGGTCAGGGTCACAAGCCAGGGATCAAACAAGAGAAGTCAGCAGAGGTCAAGATCAGGCAGGGTCGGCAACAAGTCAGGCAGAAACAGGAACAGGAATGCAGGTTACAAGGTACAGGGGCCCATGGAAAAACACACACACCAAGGCACAGACTGCAGGTCTGGCCATCCCTTAAATACACCACCTGCAATCAGCCCCAGTTGATGAATAATTGCTGAAGTGAACCTCTGGTTGTTGAGAGCACCCGCTGGCCAGCCCTGGTACTGCAGCCCACAAGGCAGGTGAGTCCCACCACTATTGGCAAGTCCATTCCTGACAGATAGACTTGCATGCTATGCTCATGGTTGATCTTTATCTATGGGGGGGGGGGGGGGGGGGTCACACCTCGAATTATGGACTTGAATGTTATTAGATGACAAGATCTGATTTATTCAGACTCTGTGTGGCAAGACTTTTTTTTTAACCACCTATGATCCAATTGCTGCACTGAATTCCACTCTTTGTCAATAAATAGAAATAAAATACAAGATGTAATGGATGCAATGAAAAAAAAAACAAAAACAAAAAAACAAATAGTGAGTGTTTTTTTTTTTTGCATTTGAGCCTACAAAGTATTGCAGTGGATGGTGGGTGCAATGGGTGCAATGCTCTGGTTCTTGCAGACCGTGGTCTGTACAGAGGTGTGGACCATCAGTTATGGAGCTGGAGGAAGTATTGCTGGACTACAAGTGAGATGACATCACCTGACTTGTCCTCCATTGAGAACTATGAGTCCCTCTGCTGCAGTGGTAGATGGGACACGTAGTTTCTTTTTTTATTAGCAGATTCCTACAAATTAATGAAGTGCCTGTGGTGGGGGAATCATACACAGCCAGAGTTGCTGATAGAAAGCACAGGGCCCCATACAACCAACCTGAAAGGGTCCTTCTCCTTTAAAAAAAGACAAAAAAAAACCCCACAGTTTACTATGCTAGGTTTAAAGGGATGAAGTGGAAACCCTTCCCTTTATCAGGGCTGCTGTTAGAAACCATGGGACCCCATACAGCCAACCTGATAGGCCCACATCTTAAAAAAAAACCCAAAACAGTTTACTTAGCTTCTGTTATGAATGAACACAGTGAGTGATTAGTACCGATCACTCATTGTTTTCATTCTGGAAATAAAGGGATGGTAAATGTGACAGTTTACTATGCTATGTTTAAAGGGATGAAATGGAAACCCTTCCCTTTATCAGGGCTGCTGTTAGAAACCATGGGGCCCCATACAGCCAACCTGATAGGTCCCCATCTTAAAAAAAAAAAAAAAAAAAAACAGTTTACTTAGCTTCTGTTATGAATGAACACAGTAAGTGATTAGTACCGATCACTCATTGTGTTCATTCTGGAAATAAAAGGATGGTAAATGTGACAGTTTACTATGCTAGGTTTAAAGGGATGAAATGGAAACCATTCCCTTTATCAGGGCTGCTGTTAGAAACCATGGGGCCCCATACAGCCAACCTGATAGGCCCCATCTTAAAAAAAAAACCCCAAAAACAGTTTACTTAGCTTCTGTTATGAATGAACACAGTGAGTGATTAGTACCGATCACTCATTGTGTTCATTCTGGAAATAAAGGGATGGTAATTGTGACATATTTACCGGGCCCTTCCCCCACTCTCCATCCTCAAAGATCCTATTGAGTGCTTGCAGATGCCGGTAGAAAGAAGAGGAGGGAAGCCATCAGCACTGTGAGGGCATACAGGGGGGACCTGGGCAGCAGGGGGAAACGTATGGTGCACAGGGAGGGTGATGGGTGTGGTGGAGGGCAATTACTGGAACCGATCCCCTGTATGGCTCTCTCTGCAGCAGCTGAAGGGAGAGGAGAAGAAGCCAGCTTTCAGTTGCTGCAGAGAGAACTATACAGGGGATCAGTTCCAGTGATTGCCCCCGCTGTGTCGATCACCCTCCCTGCCCACATCCGATTCACCCAGCTGCCTGGGCCCCATTCAGGAGGACTGGTGGTACCCCCTTACCAATCTTGTGAGTATGGGAAAGGAGGGTGGTTTGGGGGTGGGGGCTGCGCATGCCGACCATGTTTCATGTTACACCTAGATTTAGGGCACATAGGGGCTATTTACTAAAACCACATGGTGCAAAATCTGGTGCAGCTCTGCAAAGAAACCAATCAGCGTCCAGGTTTTGTCAAATCTTCATTGAACAAGCGGAAGATAGAAGCTGATTGGCTGCCATACACAGCCGCACCAGTTTTAGTAAATCTCCCTCCATGGTCTACAAAGTGGAGTTAGCTTCACGCCTCATTCACAAGGGCATACCCCGTGTGAAGAACTGTCTAACAGGCACCCACAATCTCACCTACACGACTGCTCTAGGGTAGGGGTAGAAGATTTGGGGATGTGTTGAATAGTATGGAGCAGGGAGGTGTTGGGGGGACCAGATGGTTATAGTGGCAGAGGACTATGTATGGAGATGGAAAAGTGGGGGGTGGTTGCTTGAGAATGGCCAAACTACCCTATTAAGGTGACTGCTGCCAAGTGGTTAAATCTCTTCGTAGCAGCAAAAGTAATTCTTCCCCATGTAGCTTACCTTGGACTCTATGATCATGTTCCTCCAAAGCAGCCCATTGGTTGTAGCAAAACACATGTGGCGAAAGCTCTATATTTAATGGAATGATTGACTATGGCTTGGCCATGTCGTTGAACATGCTGTTAATTCTATTTATGTGATAATAACAGTAACTGCTTTCATTTGGAAGAGCTCTGCTGGAAGTACGTACGCATGGATTTCAGGTGGCAGTTGGCTGGGCATGCCTGCTTTGACTGCCAAATGACCTTTCACATGAAATATTGTGCTGCCAAATATTTGTATAAGTGATCGTGTATTCTGGCCTTTGGGAGGAAAAAAACTGGGGAGCACTGAGATTTTTCTTATTTCACTGGAAAGCAGTAGCAATAGGCTGGAAGAAATACACTCAACTGTCCTTTGACATCTGAGAATACTTGGCTAGCAAATGGCAGTCCAGATCAGCATACAGCCCTAGGATCATTTTTTAATCCAACTAAAATCAACCAAATTGGGTATCTCAGCAAGGGTTGCATGGAGCCTTAGAGTTCCTCCTGAGGTTGCTGGGGGTTCCTTGAGCAATGAACAATTTCTACCCCTCAGATAAGTTCTCACTGACACCGTCAATCTTCTTAGCTATCTGCAAGGTCATTTTTAGCAGAGGTTCCCTGAGACCGGAAAGTTATTTCAAGGGTTATTCTGTGTTAACCCCCCTGGTGGTATTCCTGAGTGTAGCTCGGGGTAAAGTTTCAGTACCACAAGCGGTAACCCCGATCTACACTCGGGAATACACTGCAGCGCTTCTCCAGCGATCCCTGTATCACTTACCTTGTTCTTCGCTCCCGTGATGTCCCCCCGCAGCGTCCCCGGCCATCTCCTCCGGCCGATGCCGGCATCCGTCTTCTGGGTTCCGTTCCCTGTGAGCGTCGGGACATACGGGGGACAGAACGGCGGGAAATTCAAAAATGGGAAAATTTGACAAAAGTTTCAGCACCACAAGCGGTAACCCCGAGCTACACTCGGGAATACACTGCAGCGTTGCTCCGGGATCTCTTCTTCACTTACCTTGTCCTTCACTCCCGCGATGTCCCTCCTGCAGTGTCCCCGGCAATGTCCTCCAACCAATGCCGTCATCCTTCTTCCGGGTTCCGTTCCCTGCGAGCGTCGGGACGTACGGGGGACGGAACTGTGGGAAATTCAAAAATGTGAAAATTTGACATTCACTAAATACACTAAAATCACATAGTATAACATTCCTGTATCAAACCATTTCACATACATTTTGTCCCGAGTGCTTTGTCCGGCACCCTGCCTGCATTTTTACTGTTCTTTCTGCCTGGAAACTGAGAAACGTCCATGGCGTCCAAAAAGCGTCCCTTTAGGTTTTTAGACCGGCTAGAGAACAGCGATAGTAAATCAGAACCACTTGCAGAATTGAGTGATAATGATTCGTGGGGGAAATTCCTCATCAGACACTGAAAACGATTCTGCGACTGAGCTCAGCGATGTGCGAACTTGGCGCTCTATTTCACATTTCAGTGTTTTTGGTTTGATTATATTATTGAATTAAATTTATTATTATTATTATTATATTATTTTTTATGATTATTTATTAAATTATAATTTATGATTTCGTGTTTCAAATTTTATCATCCCCGGGATGTTTACTAGACTCTTGTTGGGACAGATTTCAGTAAGTTATTCCTAAGAATTACAGGCCTACAATAAAAAAAAAAAAAAAAAAAAAAAATTTCCATTGAAAACAATGTACCGCTTTGAGCACAGAAATACGGACATAATCACACCGCTAGGGAGGTTACGAAGGTTGAGGAAGGCTGTATTAGATAACAGAAATGATTTGATGCCAATACTGCTGAGCCACTATAGAAATTGTGTTCCCATAATACTGGTCCCGGTGAAAAAGTGAAGCATCTGCATACAGATGACATATCAAACATCAAGACTTTATTACAACATAGCCTAAAGCCAGGAATACACGGTAAGAAAATTGTACGCAAAATTTCGTTGATCAAAGGATCGACCGATTTCCTCTTCGTTGATGAGCAGGATGTTATGACCGATGACGATATTGTGAACGAAAAAATCTGGTTGAATAGCAGTGAAAAATGTTGCCCTTTCGCATGCGAACGACCCATTTTCTATGCGGTGGTATGATGGTCGTCCAAAAAAAATCTATCAAGCGCTATCACGCATGAGCGAAAACAGAAGATGACCCGGATGTTTATGTCCAAGGATTTTGTTTTTCGTTTCTTGCAACACATGGGTAGTAAGGGTGTTTTTGGTTTTTGGTCTCTGTGCCACACATGGGTAACAAAGGTGTATTTTGTTTGTTGTTGTTTTTTTCTTTTTTTTAATCATTACTATTGTGGTTTGCACACAGATTCTACTTTATGTATATTGCCCCATATTGGGCTGTCTTTCACATCTCAATCCTGATTTTTATCAGGTCATCAACACTTTCTCACGCAAATTCCTTGTGGTCATCACTTCGCACTCATAGTAGGTGCATCTAGATCTTAAACTTACAATTTCTCGAGGGTTTATGATATCCAATTGATATGAATATTTTTTTTTATTATTCACATTGGAGCACTGCCCTATCAGTACCAACCAGCAGGTAATCTTGTTGACGGTGCATTTGGGTGGGGCCCTTCAGGAGGCATTTGGGCCGCACTCTTCATCCACTGGTCTAATGCAGGCCATAGACGGGTTGAAAATCGGCCGATTTTTTGTCCGAAAAAAAAATTGGCCGATTTTACGTCGGAAAAAAAAAATAGGTCGATTTTTCGTCCGAAAAAAAAATAGGTCGATTTTTGAACTGTTAATGGGTTAATTGGTCGGCTGTTTTTCGGGGTTTTGGCACTTTTTTTTTATTCATAAAGTTGGAAAAAAAATCAGGCGATATTGCCGATCGGCCAATTTTCCTGGCAATGATGGGCAAATCTGCTGATCGTTTTACCGATAAAAAATCTGCGCATGAGCCGTGACATGCAAGAAGAAGAAAAAAGAAGAATAAGAAGAAGAAAAAGAAGCAGAAGAAAAAAAAGAAGAAGAAAACGAAAAGAAGAATAAGCAGAAGAAAAAGAAGAAGAAGAGTAAGAAGAAGAAAAAGAAGAATAAGAAGAAGAAAAAGAAAAAGAAGAAGAATAAAAAGAAGAAGAAGAAGAAGAAAAAGAAGAGGAAGAAGAAAAAGAAGAAGAAGAATTCCAGTCTGCTATTATATTTGACATGAAAGAGTCTTGCAGTTTCAACAATGTATCTATTTGTATCCAAATAAAAACATCTGTATCTGAAATGGATACAAATAGATACATTGTACATAGATACAAAGAGATTTTTGTTGATCTCGAAACGCGTCAAGTGCGCACCATGCATGATCCATGATTAGATTTGCAATACCATCTCTGATGTCATCGCCGCAATATGTATTGTAGCTTTATATTTATTTTTGAAGATTGTAAAAATAAAATTTCATACTGTTTTTATATAAAAAAATCTCTCTTGAATTGTTGAAATTTATCATACAAGTAAATCGTGCCGTTAAAGTCCCCAATTATGTCCAAGGATCCATAATTCCAAAATTAATTGAATTGTTAAAGTCCCTTCCCCCCCCCCTTGTAATTTATTCCAATTATGTCCAAGGATCCATAATTCCAATTAATTCCAAGGATTTATGTCCAAACGCTCGTTCTGGGTGGTGGGGCGTTGAACGCTCATTCTGGGCGGAAGGGCGTGGCTGCAAGGTCACAAACACACTGCATCACTTCCACTTGTAGGCTAGGATTACATATCTGTGGGTGGTGCCGCTACAGATCCGTACAAAAATCCATGCAGCCGCATCACTCACACAGAAGAATGCAGACCCGCAGATGGGTGCCATTAATTCTTATGGCACGCCACCCGCACTGGAAATCGCAACTGTACTGGGAACCGGAGTTTCCATGCGGGCTGCCGTTTCCAAAGTAGTGCAGGGACTTCTTCCCTGCGTGTCCCGGGGCATGGGAGTCCATTCAAATGAATGGGCTCTTGTACCCACGCACACCGCGGCCCGCACGGCCGCATATATGTGAACCAGAGAGTATGGAAGATGTCAGCACTACATATTGCTTGACGAACATTTTTTTTTCGGTTGATTAACCATTTCAATACCGGGCAATTTTTTACACCTTCCTGCCCAGGCCAGTTTTCAGGTTTCAGCGCTCTCACACTTTGAATGACAATTGCGCGGTCATACAACATTGTACCCAAACTAAAATTTTATCATTTTCTTCACACAACTAGAGCTTTCTTTTGGTGGTATTTAATCTCAGGACAGTATAGATATCCCCCAAATCCCCCCCCAAATGTCAGGTACAGAGATATCCCCCAAATGTACAGTACAGATATCCCCCAAATGTCAGGAACAGTACAGATATCCCCCAAATGTCAGAACAGTACAGATATCCCCCAAATACAGTAACAGATATCAAATGTAGGACAGTACAGATATCCCCCAAATGTCAGGACAGTACAGATATCCCCCAAATGTCAGGACAGTACAGATCAGGGACAGTACAGATATCCCCCAAATGTCAGGACAGTACAGATATCCCCCAAATGTCAGGACAGTACAGATATCCCCCAAATGTCAGGACAGTACAGATATCCCCCAAATGTCAGGACAGTACAGATATCCCCCAAATGTCAGGACAGTACAGATATCCCCCAAATGTCAGGAGGATAGTACAGTACCCCCAAATGAGGACAGTACAGATATCCCCCAAATGCCAGGATAGTACAGATATCCCCCAAATGTCAGGACAGTACAGATATCCCCCAAATGTCAGGACAGGACAGATATCCCCCAAATGTCAGGACAGTACAGATATCCCCCAAATGTCAGGATAGTACAGATATCCCCCAAATGTCAGGACAGTACAGATATCCCCCAAATGTCAGGACGGTACAGAATCCCCCAAATGTCAGGACAGTACAGATATCCCCCAAATGTCAGGACAGATACAAATGTCAGGACAGTACAGATATCCCTCAAATGTCAGGACAGTACAGATATCCCCCAAATGTCCCAGATATCCCTCAAATTTACAGATATCCCCCAAATGTCCCCTTTTTGTAAAGTAGACAGTCCGACGTACTTCTTAAGAGAAATTTGCGAGTTTTTTGAAGTTGTATTTTTTTTGTCATAATTTTTCGGAAAATTAAAAAATTAAAAAAATTATTTTCACTATTTTTTTTTTACATACTGTCACCAGTGCAGTACTATAAGCAAGCATTTACCTGAATGACATCGATTCATTCAGGTTTTTTTTTTTTGTGCTTAGCTGTGATTTGGCCACAGCTATTCACATGACATGTGCATGTGACCTGCTGTGACCATTCACAGCTAGACACTAGTATACAATGGATGGCATGAATGAAGCCATCCATTGTATACAACTGTCATGTGACCTGCTGTGATTAGTCACAGCAGGTCACATGGTCCCGGCAACGGGGGCCGGTACTCAGATCTGTCATCGGCCGTGTCCGAGGTACACGAACGGTGATAGATTGCGTCGTTGCGCAGCTCTGCAACCACGCGAACTGCGCATGTGCGGGAGGACATGTCTAATGGTTAATGTGGGCCACGATTTCGACCAACGAATGAACGCCGACCAGTCGTCGGATGACCGATTGGTCGATTTTCTTACCATATATTCCTGCCATTAGTCCCCTCCTGAAAACCGCCCACTTGAACGCGTTTCACTACTCAAGGTTTAATCATAGATTTCTATGATAAAGCCTTCCACAGTGAATCATATTAACCTCTTGGCGCTGGCCGAATGCAAATGTGCGGCCTCAAGGTGTCAGGGCCTAGGCGCCGAGCGGCTGCACATTTGCGTTCAATTAAAAAAAGACATATGTGCTGAGAGTACGCGTCCTATGCTCTCCCAGCACACATGTCCGGTACTCACGGAAAGGTCCCAATCTCCTCTTTCGATCGGGACCATTCCCAATCATGTGACCGCTGTGACATCGTGTCACGGTGGTCACATGACTCTAAACCCCACCTCCCGGCTTCTGTAACCCTTAAAGGGGCGGGAGGTACCAGCGCCAAGGGGTTAAACTGACCATAGATGGACCAATGTTCTGATCCCCGATGAACCTGATCAAGTTCATGTGGCCATGCAATCAAGAGGGTTGGAGGATTCCTCCCAGCTCTGCTATTGTATTCAGAATAAACTGATCAGCGCTGCAGTCAGTTGGCAGCAGGCGCTGATTGAATGAAAATTTATCAACAGTCCCATTTGAAAAGAGTTAGCTATAGATCGACTTCTCTCTAACGGGAATGGTCTTCTGAATTGGCCAAATTTCAATCCACCTAGTATGGGGGGTTCTCGGGCAGGGATTAAGCCTTGAGCGGTGAAACGTCTGTGGTTCTCGGACTGGGGACTGAGGCTATGGCCCAGGCTGGAATAAAGCCTTGACGACTGATACATGGTTCGAATTACGAACGATTTTCATACGACCTAAGAATAATCGGCCGATTTTCGCTCTTTAGTGGGGCAATGGGGCAGAACTTTTTGCGGTTCCTCCCCATTTTTTTTTACGGGCATGCTGGAAAATTTGTGAAAAACGACCGATTTTCAAAATCATTGGTGGCACCGTCCGATAACAGAGCAAACGACGATTTTTGGATGAAAAATCGTTTGGAATCGAACAATGTATGGCCTGCATTAGTCATCAAAAGCGTGGCTGCTTTTTCTTTGTGGTGTGCTTGGAGTAAGGATGGCTCCCTTCCCACTGAGTTGGAGTTTGCATCCATGAGCGGAGGATATTCCCATATCACTTCAAACCTAACAACTGATCTTTCTAAAAATGCCGAACGTCATACTCCTTGAGGTTGTCAAGGAACAAGGAAACGGTGGAGCCCCGTCTCTCTCCAGGAGAATTCTGTATTTGCTGGGGCAGATAATAGTTTTCTGGAAATCCCGGCGTTCTCTTCAAAGGTCGATCTTCAGACAACCTCGTGTAAAGCCTCACTGATCATTAACCGGGTGATTCTGTAATAGCTCACCTCCTAATAGGGTCCTAATGTGCTACGCAAAGAGCTTCTCACCCATGAAATATTTAAAGACAGGAAAGCCTTCAAGTTCACTGGAAAACATTTCAAAGAAAATGTAGATTTTATTGGCTATTATGAGCTGTTAAAAAAAAAAAAAACCTATCAACCGTCATTTTCCTGCCTATGTGTTAAAATCAGCCTTAGACACACAGGTGAAATATATATATATATATATATATATATATATATATATATATATATATATACAGTGAAGGAAATGCATATTTGCTCCCCTGCTGATGTTGAATGTTCGCCCCTCACAAAGAAATGATCGGTCTAAAAATCGAATGTTCGGTGTATTGTAACACTGAGAGACAGAGTAGCAACAACAAATTCAGCAGAAATGCGTCTAACAAATGATGACTGATCTGCATGTTCATGAGAGAAATAAGGATATTTGATCCGTTATCATTCAGCAGGATTTCTGGCCCCCAGGTGTCTCTCATACAGGTAACAAGCTGAGATTAGAAGCAGTCTCTTAAAGGGAGTGCTGCTAATCACATTTTGTTACCTGTATAAAAGACACCTGTCCACAGGAGCAATCAAACAATCAGATTCCAAACTCTCCACCATGGCAAAGACCAAAGAGCTGTCAAAGGATGTCAGGGACAGGATTGTAGACCTACACAAGGCTGGACTGGGCTACCAAACTATGGCCAAGCAGCTTGGTGAGAAGGTGACAACAGTCGGTGCAATCATTCACAAATGGAAGAAACACAAAACAAGTGTCAGTCTCCCTAGGTCTGGTGCACCATGCAAGATCTCACCTCGTGGAGTGTCAATGATCATGAGAACAGTGAGGAATCATCCCAGAACTACACGTGAGGATCTTGTCAATGATCTCCAGGCAGCTGGGACCACAGTCACCAAGAAAACAATTGGTAACACACTACGCCGACAAGGACTGAAATCCTGCAGTGCCCGCAAGGTCCCTCTGCTCAAGAAAGCTCATGTCCAGGCCCCTCTGAAGTTTGTCACTGAACATCTGAATGATGCAGAGGAGGACTGGTTGGAAGTGTTGTGGTCAGATGAGACCAAAAAATCGTACTCTTTGGCATCAACTCAACTCGCCGTGTTTGGAGGAGGAGGAATGCTGCCTATGACCCCAAGAACACCATCCCAACTGTGAAACATGGTGGTGGAAACATTTGGTTTGGCTGTGTTTTTCTGCTAATGGGACAGGACAACTGCATCGCATCAAAGGGACGATGGACGGGGCAATGTACCATCAAATCTTGGGTGAGAACCTTCTTCCCTCAGCCAGGGCATTGAAAATGGGTCATGGATGGGTGTTCCAGCATGACAATGACCCAAAACACACGGCCAAGGCAACAAAGGAGTGGCTCAAGAAGAAGCACATTAAGTTCCTGGAGTGGCCTAGCCAGTCTCCAGACCTTAATCCGATTGAAAATCTGTGGAGGGAACTGAAAGTTCAAGTTGCCAAATGTCAGCCACCAAACCTTAATGACTTGGAGAGGATCTGCCAAGAGGAGTTGGCCAAAATCCCTCCTGAGATGTATGCAAACCTGGGGGCCAACTCCAGGAAACGTCTGACCTCTGTGATTGCCAACAAGGGATTTGGCACCAAGTACTAAGTCATGTTTTGTGAAGGGGATCAAATCCTTATTTCCCTCATGAACATGCAGATCAGTCATCATTTGTTAGACGCATTTCTGCTGAATTTGTTGTTGCTGTTCTGTCTCTCAGTGTTACAATACACCGAACATTCGATTTTTAGACCGATCATTTCTTTGTGAGGGGCAAACATTCAGAATCAGCCGGGAATCAAATATGCATTTCCTTCAATGTATACATATACAGTATATATATACAAGCAACCTTGTCCGTCAGCACAGCAAGCCCAGTGACCTGGCTTTTCTCTACTGCAGTTGATTGTGAAGGATCAAATTTTACTTTTTAACACATAGCAAGCATGTTATACTTACCTGCTCTGTGTAATGGTTTTGCCCAGGCCCGCTGCTTCTTGGGTCCCCCGCTGATAGTTTAGACTCTGTAACCCTGCTGAGTGTCTCCATAGCAAGCTGCTTACTATGGGGGCACTTGTGCAGGCTTGCTCCTGAGCCACGCTCTGTGTGTCCATTGATGCACAGAGCATGGCTCAGCCCTGCCCCCTGCTCCCTCCTCACTGGCTGTAATTGACAGCAGGAGGGTTAGTGGATCCCGCTGCTGTCTTTGAGCCAAGGGAAAGGAAGAGAGCAGAGAGAGTCAGTGCTCTAATGCACAGCGTTGGATCGAGATCAGGCTCAGGTACGTATAAGGAGGGGTGGGGGGGGGGCTGCATGCAGAAGGTTTTATACTTTAATGCATATAATGCATAAAGTACAGGGTGTAGGAGTCAGAAGTATGTAAAGTAAAGAGTATACACATAGTGTAGGAGTCAGGAGTATGTAAAGTATAGAGTATACACATAGTGTAAGTATCAGTAATATGTAAAGTACAGGGTGTAGGAGTCAGGAGTATGTAAAATACAGAGTGTAGGGGTCAGGAGTATGTAAAGTACAGAGTGTAGGGGTCTGGAGTATGTAAAGTATAGGGTGTGGGAGTCAGGAGTATATAAAGTACAGGGTGTAGGAGTCAGGAGTATATAAAGTA